AAAATTGTAACAAAACAATTGTAAGTATTCTTTTATACCTGTATGGAATTATATTTAAAGTTGTCATTAGTGCATATTTTTTTCAGTTAGTATTTTTGTTAAAATTAAACAACATATACATTGTCTAATATTGCATTATATTACAGAAGCTGCATATACTGAAGTCCTAAGTGAAGAAAATTATAGGATCGATATAAAAAAGGGTTTCAAGGTTGCAAAAAACCGATATTATAGAGAGGCTTACATCAAAAAAAAATCAACAAAAGGGATTAACTAGATATAGTTATAAATATTACCATTATATATTTTAATTAATGTTAATTTTTAGTTAAAATAATTTTAGTTATAGTTATATAGATTATAAAATCATGTTATAATCATGTTAATAATTTTAATTTAAATAAATTTTATTATAATATAAAAGATATTGGAATTTTATTAAATGTAATTAATTACAAATACATGCATTTTTTAAAATCTTTTGGCGGCCTTTTCTACGCAGCGAGTGTGTAAGGCCTTCCTCAGAATTTGTGTTGCAGTGCTTTATAAAGGCCTTTTCTACGCAGCGAGTGTGTAAGGCATTCCTCAGAATTTGTGTTGCAGTGCTTTTTAAAGGCCTTTTCTACACAGCGAGTGTGTAAGGCCTCCGATATTGGCTCATCCAAAACAAAAAAGAAATAGTAAAAAATACAAGTGTGTAGGTACTACTTACTGCAGAAAAAGGCCTTTAAAAAGGCCTTTTTACTCCTTATTTCTGCTACTGGGCTGCTACTGGGTATTGTTGTAGCGAAAATACACATACCTATACACATACGTATTTATTAACCAGTCATTTCTTGTTTGGACAAGAAACAGTAGAATTTTATATAACACTACTGAAAGCTATATACTTTAGGTATGTTGTAGTAAATGATCTGAAAAATGGCCAATTTTAAAAAAGAGACGAAAAAATAAACATAAGCGAGGCCTGGACACAGGCTAATTTTGTAGTATATGGACCCTATCCTGAAGTATTTCCGATAAAGTTCCAGAATAAAAATGGTGAGGGAGAGTGTTTTTAGTCCATGCTAACCGGGCATACCACTATTGTGACGACATAGTGACGATGCGTTAGGCATTTGTAAACTTTTTCCGCAAAAAATTGTAGTATATCTACATATTAATTATATTGTCAACAAATAATTATTTTGACATATGTATATAACTAGTGTCTATAACACCGACACATACCAAGAGCAAAGACTTGTCTTCTCTATTGGTCCTTTTGTTTTGCGCAAATAAAATTCTTAAAGTTCTGCATTAACTTGCATTGGAATTTCATTTATCCCAAATTAATAAAAAATAAAATAAATTTTTTTTAAATTAAATTAAAATGCATAATAAGCATATTTTTATTCAGGTAAGTCGCAGCTGGCTAGCGAAAGCAATTTGATGCTTTGCTGGGTGCATGGTCACACAGGAATCAATGGTAGAGTCTGCCAACAGTGTTGCGAGGTCAGGATGTGGCATTCAACTCTGTGGAGCGGAGCCATATTGCGGATTAAGTTGGTCTACAAGTAGGTCTCTGATTGATAAATGGTTTTCAGCCGAGAGAAATCGCTATTCGGCCGACATACCAGGTAACTGTCAGGCTAAAGAGATGGTTCATCCCTACAGTAATGGTAAGGTATCCTTATTCAGCAAAACAGAATTGAGGTTGCTGGTGGGATATTTAACTTGTCCCCATAGACTGTGTGATCACCTTAACAAAATGGGTCTGTCTAATGAGACTCTGCTAAGAAGCAGACGAGACTTGCAGTAACATTCTCTGTGACGGCCCAGCCTTGATCTGGGTCAGAAGGAGGTCACTGGGTCGAGAACTACTTTCCCCTTCTGACATTAGGAGGTCGACATTCAGGATTTCATTCGAAAGGCGGAATGTCTTTTGTTCGGTTAAGGTCACTGGTCGAGAACTACTCTCCCCTTCTGACATTAGGAGATTGAGACTTGCAGTCACATTCTCTGTGACTGCCCAGCCTTGATTTGAGCCAGGAGGAGGTCACTGAGTCGAGAACTACTCTCCCCTTCTGATATTAGGAGGTTGACATTATGGTTTTCATTCGGAATGCCGAATGTCTTTTGTTCGGTTAGGGTCTGGTGCAGCACAAAAAATCAACCACGTCGCAGTGTTCCGTACCGTTGGAAGGTGGTACCCCGTTTATACATATTTCCTATAATATTCAGGTAGGTCTATAATAAGTATAAATACTGTATAAATTTAATCAATAAATCTAGATTCATTTTAGACATTAAGTCCACTACTTGTTTACTGTAATATAAGTTATCTAGTTGCAATCTACTTTAGATTCGCCTCGTGGCATTGCTCTAGATTTGTGTTTAAGTCCTGTAATCCTAGAATAGTCCCAGAAATTATATTTACATGAAGTAATTTATTGCGGACAAAAATCCTGCGATCCTAGAATATTCTCAGAAATCATACTTACGTAAAGCAACTTTCTGCTGATAAGGATCCTGCTATACTAATGGACAATTTCCACCAAAGGTGTAACAGGTGTATACAACAAGCTTAGAAATTTAAAAGAACTTGTAAAAGATTGAATAAAAAGAGACAACGTGATCTTAATAACATTAAACGTTCGAAGACTGAGGGAAATGGCTGGTATAACTTACAGGCTACTGAAGTGACTGAAAAAGTTTAAAATGATCTGAAAGTATTACATATGCGTTCAGTATTGGATCCTAAACAATTTTACAGGAAAAACGAATCAACATAGATGAATTTAAAAAACTAAAAAACAAAAACAATGGGTTCCAGCAATCCAAAATAACAGCATTTGTAGTAACCGATCACTTTCGGTAATTGGTGCGCTGGCTTTGGGAATATTTCTACTATATAAAGTTAATAATTATATCAAAACCTATATAAATAGGAAAATAAATAGAGCCATAATATCATCTGCCTAATAAAATATTTGTTAAATAAAAATTTGTTGTTAAAAAATTATTAAATTAATAAATTTTAAAATATTAAAATTTGCGATGTAGGTATAGTAGAACTAACATGTGTATATTCTTAATAGAGTATACCAAATATGTAGCAATTACAGCAATAGCTTTAGCCATTATAACTGTTTACGAATTTTTATACTGTGAAAATTTAATCAATAAATTTAAATTCAACATAGACATTGAGTCCACTTCTTATTTACTATAAGTTGCCTAGTTGCAACCTAGTTTAGATTATAATCGCCTCGCTGTACTAGGTTTATAAGTTCCTTTAGGCAGACTAAGGTCATGATGCCGAAACCATGACCAGGGAAACGATAAAAGTGCTTAGCTATCCACGGAGCACCCTAAGCTGGCTGACCTCATTGATTAATGAACATAGAAACTTCAAGTATCACCTCAAAAAGATAACTCTAGCTAAGGAAGACACTTGCAGACTGCGACTAGAAGAAAAGGAGACAACGGTGCATGTATTCTGCCAATGTCCGACAGTGACAAGTAGGAGGAAGACTGTCTTGAGACACCATTGGGTTGATGATGGCTTGGCAGGCAACCTCAAGCTAAATGAGCTGCTTGCATCAACCAATACCAATGTCTAGCACTCACAAGTAGGAGAAAGACTATCTTGGGACACCATTGGGTTGGGTATGGCTTTGCAGGCAACCTCAAGCTAAATGAGCTGCTTGCATTAACAAGCGGTGTAGTTATGCGAACGGAAGCCACTTTGGCTTTAACTCAGTAACGACATCCGAAAATTTAAAGACGAAAAAACACCCAACTCGTTTCGTGGTCTACTTCGGCTAATCCCTCACTACGGTATGGTCGCTTAATGGGTGGTGCGCTGTCCTAACATCCCACAATATATACGTTTCGTCGTTTCGTGGTCTACTTCGGCTCATCCCTCACTATAGTGTGGCCATTTAATGGACAGTGCGCTGTCTCAACATCCCACAATATGTAGGTTTATGTTTATTACTGTACTTTCATAAATTTTCTTCTACATATGCCAAACCATATTTAAATAAATATTTAGATACAACAACATTCCTCAAAGCATCGGGATTGTCAATAAACCAAACGAATTTGCGATTGCAATTACATAAAGAAAAAAAAATTTGATTATGGAAATGTTTATTTATTAATTTATTGTTACATCAGCAATTCAGTTTATTTTAATTTCTCAAACGAATATCTTTTTATTTTGTCCTTTACATATTAAAGATTTTGAGATTCATTATTTTACTATATTTTTTAATTATATACGAGTATTCCCAATTCTTTACTTATTTGCCGTTTCACATCCATTAAGGTATTTCTCTTTTTCATATCAATATATATTTGTAACTTATGGTATATAAGTATATTTATTTTACTTGATTATATTAATAAAACATTAAACATCCAATGTAAGATAATAAGAAATTAAGTTAAAATTACATACATATTTGTTTTATAAACACTTTGATTATTATAAATAAATTTATGCGTATCTGCACGGAGCAAAAACGTATTGAGAACATGTGATTTAGATTTATTATATGCTTTACTTACTATAAATGTATGAGTTATTTAATACTCTAATATCTGCTCATGCGTGTACTTCTAATGGAGTTCTATTATATGAATTTGGACAAAATATTACAATTAATGCTTATATAAGTTGATGAATGCTCTAAATATGGGGATTATATAGATCTACTCTGGGTTACAAATGCCTGGACTGTGCTTCGTATGCATTCTGTGTGGCATGAGCGTCGAGACTAGATCCTGTCGCTCCTTTGTAAACTACATAAGCATTTAACGTGCCAAATATTCAATATAATAAAACCATTTTGTAGCTGCCATATGTTTTCTTGATCAAATACTTATTTCTTGCATTTGAAATTTAAAATGAAAATTAGTGAATACAACACATACCATATATAATAATAAGTTTGTTTTGTTCAATTACATAAGTTATATATCTTTTATATATGTTATCTAAGTGTCTAGGTCTATAATATATATGTGCTTACATTTAAACATATAGATGGTTATACATTATATGATTATATGGAATGCTTCTTAAATTCAGTGGTTAAGTTTACGAAACATATAAACATTTATTAAAATTTCAAATTACACTCAATACTATATATGCAATATAACTTTAAATATGGTTATTATATTTTATATTTTATATATTATAATATAGAGTTCTTTACATTTTCTGTTCTCTTTGATTCCTATCCACTTTAGTGGTTACACATCAATTTTTCATATTACGAATATTTTTTATTTTATTTGATTTTAGCTTTAATGTTTAGTGTGTAAAATTTCTCTAAAATAAAATATATTTCAAATATTTTGATTTAGTTTGTAAATTAGTATTTTAAGTTCTATTAAACAGAAATCCGTTCATTTTTAATATATATGTATATATATATATATTTGCATTTATATGGAATAATATAGATTTGTTATACAATTTATTAACTTCATTTTGCAATTCACTTTGTGTGTTCGTTTCTAATATTTATAAACAATAGGCTTTTCATTTGTACATAACTTCTTTCAGATCTTTAAAGCCCGATTTCGCGCATCGCACTATACAAGCATGGATTCTTAAGACATTCTTTTGGACCCAACTGAGGCACCGAAGATCCTCGCAAAATCATCAAAACAGAACGAGCTGCAGCTTCGCAATCATTATTTGCGCCGCAAATGCTCTCAGCTTCCGCTAAATACTGATAATCGCAAGCCACTTGGGAGGTACCCTATAAAAATTATATATATTTTGTATAAGATCGAAATTATAAACATTTTAATTTTCATATTCTAAACTGTAAAATTAAAATTTCGTGTATATTTTTTATATTTTAACGTAATTTATATAGTAAAAACTCTCTTCGTTTCATATTCATCGAACATTGATGAAAGGACATTGATCTCAAGCGGGCCGTACAAATATTACCCGAGTGCCGTATGCAGCATGTGGGCTGTGCTTTGGATAGCCCTGATTTAAAAGATTGCTTATATTATAGAATCAGTATTAATATTCATTATTTATCATGTATGGTATAAAAGCTATGCGCTTCTTTCACTAATAATTTTGAATTTTTACTAATTATTCACTAAATAATTTTTTTAATAAGCATACTAAATGACGAAAGAAAAGTTAGGTAGAAATCTAAAAA